TCCTCATTCTTCAATCTCCAACGTTTTCCTTTGAGCAGCAAGGCGGCCCCAGGATTGCTAGCTCTGCCCTGCTTAGTTTCCTAGCAAGCTCAATTTCCTTTGAGCTGCAAGGATGAAGTTAAAATAGCAGTTCCCGCATGCTCCGTTCCGTTCCTTTATTACAAGCGCTGGGCATCTCTGGAGAGCTGGTACTAAAACCAGAACTGAGCCAGAGTTTCTTTAGGGAATCCTGACAGATTTGTGTTTGTGTGCTCTCCAGCTGGCAGGAAAAAATCCTGATAGTTTTCTTTTTGTTAAAAAAAAAAAAGAAGAAGACTATGCAAAGCATTTCTCTTTGCTTATGTACTATATGTGTTCAATCACAATCTTAGACCTGCCGAGTTGGAAGGGAACCTATGGATCATCCAGTCCAGCCCCTCTCAAGGAGGCATGATGGGGATTCAAACTCCCAACCACTGGCTTGCTAGAGACCTCAACCAGCGTTACAGGGTTTGCTTTGTTTTTGCTGCGTGGAAGCACTCAAAAATGCAAATCCATTCACCCTTGCGGCTTGAAATGGTGGAGTCCAAGAGGAAAAAACAAACTCTAGACCATTTCCAGTGGCATTAAGGGGTCCCTAATACTATAGTTCTCACCTGCACCCCCTTCTCTCGAACATTCCATGGAATTTCCAGCAATGGGTCTGTTCCCTTCTGTCTTCAAACCTCCGGCACTTTTATGCACCAACTCGTCTCTGATGTTTGAGAACACAAAATTAATGCTCCCGTTCCCCCCCTTCCCCTTGCAAACATGTCCAAACAGAAACAAGAATATTTACAATGAAGCGATGGTGGAGAAACATTGGTAATTCACAGTTAAAAGGGAAAAAAAGTGACATCAGATCATCCCGTTCAGTAGTCTAAATTGTAGGAATTTTGACAGTCTGTTGCACTTCGGTTTTCCTAATATTTATATATTTATATATATAATTTTAATTAATTTTTGTTTTGCAATATGGAAGATGAGGAAAAAATCCAAAGAACACAGGTTTGATGAACACAGAAGGAGGGAGGTTAAAAAGTTCAAAATGATGGAAGGGTGAAGCTCAAAAGTTCAGAAGACGGGTTGAAACAAGGTGACTGTCCCCGGCAGCGAGAGAATTCATGATGGGATCCCCAAATTCAGATGAAGCAAAAGTTGACTTGGTTAAAAAAACAAACAAACAAACTTTTGAAAGGTGAGAGGCTGTGTCCCCCGAAAAAACAACACGCTAGGAATGTTCTTGATGCTGAGAAGGATGAAGGTGGATTTGAAAAAGCAGTCCGGAGGTAGCCAACCACGGTATAAATAGTCCCACGCTGCTTTAGATAAGTGTTTTTTAAAATAATATATATATACTTATATATATATTTATATATATAGAACTTTGTGGTGTGCGAACTTGTCAAAATGCTGGATGGAAAGATGCTCCGGATAATGAGTGTGTTCCTGACACAAATTAAAGAGGCTTTTGAGGAAGGAGAGGGTCGGTAGGGAGAATGAGGGCTTGGCACTCAAAACTGGGATGTACAGACAGGTGGAGGAGAATACTTGCACCAAGAATGTTCCCATTCAACCCTGTCGCATGCCTTTTCTCTCCTTTCCTTTCTGTTCTCCTTTCCCCATCCTGTCACCAACCCCCCCCCCTCATTTTGAACAGAACTGCCTGGAAATTAAAAAGAAAAGAAAACATCAACAGTGATATGGCAAATGCAGGGGGAACAGTAAGTGGAGAGGAGATGATAACAAGATGTCTCTTGCTCCCCACACTGCTGCTGTGATTCTGTCATGGGGCAAACGTTTAGGTCAGCTGTGAGAGATACAGGTGCTTATTGGCCCATCTGGATGTACCATGTTATGCAGAGTACGTCCCGTTCCTGCCTCGCCTTCCAAAATTCTCTCTCCCCCCCCTTTGAAATCAGAAGCACCCACGTAGGTTTGGCAGGATTAGCTCACGGAACAATGCCCAAAGAAGACAGTAGAGACAGTGGCGTTTCATTTGGGACTAGAAAATGGGAATCAGCAATGAATTCCAGCCAGGTCATCACCATAGCCGACTGCCCGCTCCCCCAAGAACTTTTCATCATTTAATTCATTAAAAATGTGGCTCATATTTGGCACATTGAAAGCTCCTAAGTCCCAGTGGTCACCATGGCAAGTTTTATTGCTGCTTCACTCGAGCAGCAGTATCTCTCTCTCTCTCTCTCTCTCTTACTCCCTCTCTCAATCAATCTCTTTGTGAAGAGGTTGATGAGATCAAACCCCCCCGAGGATTGCTGCTTTTGAAACGCATTAAAAATGGACGGAGAATGGGGGAAAAGAGATATACCTGTAAGGTATAGTAATGGGATTCAGTCAAGAAAGAGAAAGCAGTTGGAAATGCACAATTTTCAGAAGTGTACTTGGTTTATCTCCAGGGCACACCAGGTCTAGCACCCAAGTACAATATGATTTCCTCCCGTCCCCACATGGACATTGGAGTGACAGTTACGTCCAGCGTCTAGGCCAGGACAATATTTTCTCAAACACATCAAAGAAGCGTCTTGCACCTTCCTCAAGCACCAAGAGGGGGAAAGCATCCCCATCATCATTCAACACAGTCCCATCTAATCATGACAAACAGCAAGAAAGGATACGGATCATTAAGAAGCACTTGGGGTGGGGAGCCGATTCCCGAATCCACAGAACTGAGGAAGATTTCCGAGGGTCTCTCCACCACACACCCTCTCTTGAATCTTTGCTCCAAAAAAACACCCTTAGCCGTGAGGTGGCAGAAGCCTCTAGCAAAGCAAGACCAGGCTCAGAAGAGGCAAGGAGATCCTCTTTGTTCTTAAGAAGCGAGGGGCTCATCAGGTTTTTGCTTCAAAACTCCAAACAAAAAGAAATCATACACGGTTTCACGAAGCAGATCCCCCACCTTCCCGAGAGGAGTCAATATACAATTGGTTCCCTCCCTCCTCCCCCCCCAAAAAGAAAACTTATGGTGCAAAGTACTCATGTCTGCATCAACCATAAATCAGCATCAAGACATCTACAGAGATCCCCAACAGCTGTGGGGAAGGCCCACAAGTATCCCTTTTTTATATAGGAAAAAAAAAGAGTAATACATTTATTTAAAAGCCACTAAGGATCCCGACTTGAGATCCACTAACAAGTCCTACGCTTCACTTTTTTTAAAAAAACTTTTTTTTTTAAATATCAAAATGCCCCAAGAGTCTGCACCCACCCCCAAACAATTTTACTTGTTAAAAATTTGTTTAAATAGCTGCATGTTCTCTATAAATAATAGTTTGGCACTTCACAAATGAAGGGAAGGGAAAGTGCATCTTTTTTTAAACAGGATATGTTCAATGACATCATTGTTCCACGGAGGAGACGTTCCGTTAGGATGACAGGAATCATTCCAGAAGTTGCAGTGGGCAGAAAACTGTTCTTCCAGGCTGTCTCCCCTTCCGCCATCTTTCTACCCCACTGGTCAAGTTTAGGTTCTTCAGAGAGAGCCTGGAAAATAATGTGGTTTTGGAAAGGGGAGGGGCAGCTTAAGAGGAAGGAGGAGGGAAAGAGGAAGTAAGGGGCACCATTGATTGGGAGGCTAGCCTGCACTTTGGTGTCTTGGGGTGATCAGGAGAAATGCACAAGGAATTCGGAGGCCTCCACGCACGTCCTTCAGGGCAGTGGAGTTTTTACCCAGGGCATTTCCCTTACTCTCATGCGTCCGTTGGGGTTTAGGGATGGTGGGGGCAAGGGTTGGAAGGGGCAGGAGAAAGAATCGGATGCAGGAAACCTTTCCTTTAAAGAAGATTTGAACAAGGAAGGGACCTCAGCACAAAAAGCCCTTCAAATATTCTCAGCAAGGAAATCCACGTGCAAATTCTCTTGTGCAAGTCGACTCTCTAAGCCAAGGACCCAGGAACCCATGAAGTTACCCGGCACCGTTTGCTCTGAGATTGGACACGATGGGTTCCTCAAATACTAGGAAGATAAGAGAGGTCTCGATGCCCAGGTCCTTTTCATCTGAAGCGAGAAAAGCCGGGCCTATAATCTTCGACGGGCAAAGCAAAAACTCACCCCTAATTTATAGACCCATCCTTTGTAATGTTTGTTACTGTTTCTCAACAGAGCAGGGGAAGAATCTATCCATTGATATTGGTTTTTTTAAATTAATTATTATTATCTAGTCCAGTTGCCTGAATCCTGCTCTCTTTTTTGTGGATCAAGGAAGTGCATTGCTTGAAGGCTGGATTCGTCAGACTTAGAAACAAAGCCTTCTAGCCAGAGACCCTATAACTTCTGCTGGGAAAATAAAGCAGAGTGAAATCAAGTAGGCCATTTGTTCTGAAGGAGAACACACAGTTCTGCAATCCAATGTGCCACCAGGAAGGCGCTTGGCTGATGAAAGTGGTGGCCTTTACCAACAAGCTGCATTCTGTATCTTCAGAAGCACATATGGAACTGTATGAGCTCAATGTACAGGCAGCTTTTTGAAAAATCCGTGTTAATAGTCAAAACCCAGCATTCTAAACGGCCTGGTGTATTTATGTTCCCTTACTTCTGTTTCTAGTCCACCCTGCCTTAAGGGCCTTGGTGAGAACTGATAACACTGCATACCAAATGGAGTGACCCAGTCAAAAATTGACTCAGGGCACCACGCATCCCATTACGACAGTGGATCCTGAACTTGGGTCACCTGACATTTTTGGACTAAAACTCCCAGAAGCCTTCCCCACTAGCCAGGATCGCTAGGATTTGTAGACCAAGAACATCTAGGGACCCCAAGTTGGGGAACTATTGCGCTAGGAGATTCTCAAGCAATGTTCTCCATGCGCAATGTCTCCCCGCGTGTGTGCCCCCTTCCAACACTTGGAAGTAGCTATCAGTGGGACTTAATTCTGACTTGACACATACAGGATGGCATGGCTCAGGAACAACCAGAGAAGAAGATTTAAAAAATGTCTCCAGGGAAGTTTGTTCCACTGCTAGGGCCAGGATGGTGCGGGTTGCTCTTGGATGCAAAATTCAGCTCCCGATTCCCAAAATTCAGCTCCTTTTCCATTGAAAAGGAGGTGGGAGCAAATGTTCTAATCCTTAGGGATGGAAATGATACAATTGGGAGTATATGATTGATAAAGCACCCACTCTCCCTAGAGAGCATTGTACAGAGACTGTAAAAATAAATAAATAAATAAAATTGCAGAGCTCTTCCTATCATCAGAGCTTTGAAAGCTGACTCTTCTGGATTAGAAACTCCCAGAATTCAACCGCTCCTGTGACCTTCCTGCCTGGCAGAGTCTGGGAATTACAGTTCCCCCAAAAGGAACCTTTCTGGGCTCTGAGTGTAATTCCCCAGGTGGCGAGAGTCCGTGTTTTCCTTGACAGAGAATATGGGCTTCCTTAGCACAGGATTTTGTACTTAAGTGCAAACAGATCTGTTCGTGAGCTCCCAAAGTAAAAAAAGAATAGGGAGAGAAGCAAGCAGACAGACCAGGATCCACAATCTTGGAATATACTGTCCAAATGTCTGCAGCATTTGGGGGAAAAGGGTAGGCCTGGGTGTGGAATGTCCCTTTTTAAAAATATATGCCCCCCCCCCCCCAGGATTTAAAAAAGACGCAAGTTAGGAGTTTGGCACATTTTTCCCCTTTACTCTCCCACTAACCCAACCAAAAGCTTGATATGCAACATACATCTGAAACAGCAGCAATATTTTGTTTGCCTCGAATCTCGGCCAGCTTAAAAGCAGAGGTCTCTAATCACACTGGGGGTGCTACTCCCCACAATTTGTTCCATAAATAAAACGCCGGCTGCAGCAGCTTTCTGCACACCATAAAATCAGTGCAAGATGCTATATAGATATTGCTTCCTTTAATTTTGTTTTTTTCCCTAGTAGTATATACCAGGTTTCACATTTTTGAGTTTTGCCCCCTAGTGGTTTTAGAGTCTGAAGACTCTCCCTTCAGTCTAAGAAGGAAAATGGAATTCAGAGATACACACGACTACCTAAGGATCCCATGCCCCCCCCCAACCCATTATCATACATACCAGATCCTATCCATACCCAGCCAAAGAGTTGGTGTAAGAACTGGCTAAGAGCCTACAGTTGATCAAGCTAAGTTAGGAGCGTGGAGAAGGTTAGAGGAGTGCACATAATACTTCCCACACCCCCACCCACCCTGTGTGCATACTCCTCTTCACCTTCCCATGCATTAGAAAAAGCCAGGAAAGAAGTGTCACCCTCTAGGGGTAATTAAAATATTGCACAAGTCCACACCTTGAAGCTGGGATATGAAAGTAGGAGAGTTGAAGGTCTATGCTGCTCAAGGGGAAGCCTTATGAGTGGGAGGTCCAGTGCACCGAGAAGCCGTCAAGAAAGATGGAACAGCTCGGAAACTTCCTTTGCTGACGTCTCCAGTTTTTCCTCCCATCCGGTCTCTGACGAGACCACCCCCAAATGCTCCGCTCGGCTCCTAACCCATCTGAAAGACCTCAGCCATTACAAATGTAGGGTGGATCCTTCAAGCTTGCTCCTCCTCACGGAGACACCTTTTCCTCCAACCCTGCTACGAACAAGCCAATCTACGCCCACCTGGGTGCATCAAGGTGTTCCGAAGTAATGCCAGGCTAGCTGGCGGAGGCCGTCATGGCTGCGACAGAGCCACCCATGGGAACACATGCGCGCCCAGAAAGGAAGCCGCGTTTCATGCCGCAGGAAGCTGTACGCGACATCCTCCTAAGATATGCTGTGAGACACCCCCGCTTCGTGCTTTAGGCCCTACACAGGAAGCAACCCGCTCTGAAAGAGGAAATAGCCTACAAGCCAGCTAGGTGAGGGTCTCCAACTCAGCCTAGCTTTCAAGCTGCCTTTGGGTTAAAGGCGAAGAAAAAGGCTGATGCAACTCACTGCTTGATGTCGCAGTGTGATGCTGTACATCCGCTCAGCCTCCTCTTGGCAAATCCTGGTGGACTCTGAGCTTTCCATGAGAGCAGCAAAGCTGGGGAGAAGAGGGGGTGCTGTTATTCCAGGGCTGGCACCTTCAGCAGCAAAGAGGGCTAAACCCTTCCCATTATTTAAAGGACGGTTGCAGACCCTAAATGTAAACATTGCAGGGAGATACCCTGGTTCATATGCGTATTTATTTTTAACCCTTTTCAGGGTGGGTAAAATCTATTGATCACTGATACGTTAGTGTATATATAGAGAGAAGGAAAGACAGAGCGACAGGACGTCCTGTGCTTTAACTCTTGAACTGAATGGGGAGGAGGGGGGTGTCACACGATACCCCCCCACAAATCTCAATTGCCTGCCCTTTGTCCCCACCCCAAATGGCAAGCACTCTTCATTGAAAACTGGAAGCCCTGATCCAACGGTGCGGGACGTAGGACCCCTTGGGGTAAACGTTTACGTCCTCGGAGGGAGCTGACGGTAAGAAACGAGCAGGTGATCCCTGCCGTGTCAGCGTTGGGGGGTGAAGGTCTGCTGGCCCGAGTGAGTTCATAATACTGCTTGCTTACACAGGGGTCAGGAGAGGTGGAGGGGAGGGGGCGAAGGGGTAGCAGCATTGGGGCAGGGATCTGGAGAGGAGCCTGGCAGCCCCTTGGTGCCAATGTTTGACTGGACTCCAAGGACTAATACTGATTGTGGGAGTCGCGCCGCTTCTGGATGCCCTGTGGCGTCTGGGATGGAGGTGGAGGGAGGCCTAGTGAGGAAGAGGAGCTGAAACCTGGGACATCTTTCGAGATCTTTCAACCCCATGCCGAGGCTGGACAACAGGGGCAGAAGTTTTAGGGGCAGGCCTTTCCTTTCCAGTTTTGCTGTATGGATTTTTACCACAAGGATACTTTGCGGTAGGTGATGCTGGGGTGGGTTTTGTTCTCATCCGGGCGCCGTTCTTCTTTTTTAAAGGAAGCAGGCCACCTCTTTGGAGGGCAGCTATTCAAAACAAAAGGAAAGCTTTCTTCCTGCCATCCAAACCCCGCCTAACATGGCAGCCGATGCAAAGGAACCTTTCCGCACGAGGGGATGCATGCAGGAGGGCATGGCCCGACACAGCGCGGGACGGAGACCCACCACCTCATTGCACCCTAGGAAGTGGCCCCTTGTACCGCCTCTCAGGGGTAGGAGCGCTTGATCTTCTGAACGCAGAGTAGCCCTTATCCCTTGTTCTCTAGCTCTCCACACATCACAGAAGGCTTGTTATTCATTTCACACAACTCTCTGAAAGGGTGTTGCTCAAATAGTCACAAGACAAGCAACCTGGAGGTCTCAGGGGTCCTGTTTCCCATCATATCAGGACCCAGTCTTTCCAGTCAAGTCCAGTTCTCCCTGACTTTTCTCAAAAGCAGCTTCTTCTGTATCTCAGGAAATTCCTCATCTACAAACTTTCCATCCAAATACTTTATTTTTTAAGTTCTGATTAATAGGGCTGAGATACTCTCTCTCACACACTCACTCTCTCTCTCTCTTTTCTCACTCCCAAATGGAAATTTACCCAGAAGAATTCTGATATAAAACCTGCCACAACCCATTTCCCCACTCCAGAGTCTAACGCAATCAATCCCTCAGCTTCAGCTTAGAACACACTAGTCTCCCCGCAGGTAGAAAATCAATCCTTCAACCTCACCTTAGAACACACTAGTCTCCCCGCAGATAGAAAATCAATCCCTCAACCTCACCTTAGAACACACTAGTCTCCCCGCAGGTAGAAATTCCATGTTTCATGACAAAAGGTTAGCATACAAGATAAAACACAGAGTGCTACCTATTCTGGAGTTCAGGGCCATGGGGCAGGATGTCACTTCATGTCCTATCAGTCCCTCATGACCCGAACCCAGATCTGCTTCCCTCCCACAAGTATTTTGAAACCCAGTCTCAGCGTCTACAGAAGGTAACCCTCTAGGTGGGCATGAAGAGAGATATGCAAAACCCGTCAAGAGATTCTGAAACTGATCTACAGCTGGGGGATGGGGAAGGAAACATTACGAGACAGGCTTTCCCCCCCATCAAGATTGTTGCTTAAGAAAACTGGAAAGAAAGAGGGAAAGAAAGAGGACTTGTTTTTTTTTCTTAAAAAATGTTTTTTTTTCTATTAAAATCCATCAACTCAAAAAGAAAAGAAAATGTTGCCATATATATATATACATAAACAGGTCGCACCACTGGCGAAATAAAGTTCCCGTAGAACAAACGCTGCTCGCTTTTTGCAGACAGAAGGGGGTGCGAGTGTGTGAGAGGGACATTGGACGGGGGCTGGTGTTGGATAGATTACAATTTTAATGATTGAAGGATTGATCCTAATTCTACGCCTTCCCCCAGCCTCTTCTCGCCAGCCTTCTCTTATCCCACTTTCTGCGGGTTGGTGGCCCGGACGCCTTGCTCATACGTTACTCTCTGGCTGATCAGATACTGCGCCGCTTGTGTAGCAGCCGGTGTGCCTGTGATGGTGACTTTACGGTTCCTAGTACCCGGGATAAACTCCCCCTTTTTGGAAATCTGGATGCGGGCACCTGTCAGCTCTTGGTACTCGACCAACGTCTTGCCGCCTTTCCCCAAAATAGCGCCCACCAGGTTCTCCGGCACGGCAATCTCTACCATATCTTTGGCGCTTTCCACGAGCTTCTCTGTAGCTAAGAAGGAGCTAGCCACCAACGGAGAGGCTGTCCCCAAATAGCCATTGGCTGCCCCAGTGGCGGCCGCCAGGGAGCCCAGGGTGAAGGCGCCGACTGCGCCGGCTGGGGTGGGGGTACTAGCAGAAGCTTCGTTGGCGTAGGAAGCTAACAGGTTGGCGGCGGCCGCCGCGGCCGGGGTTGCTCCAGCAGCCACGGCGGCCAGCACTCCCGAGGCCGCGGCTGAGTTCAGGCCGAGCCCCAAAGAGCTGGTGTTGTATCCATAGCTTGCCAAGGTGTTGAGAGCGGTGCTGATGGCCAGAAGGTCACTGCCGGAGAAACCGGGCAGGGCGGCTGGAAAGGCTCCCACTCCTGCAAGGCTGGTGTGGCCCAGCAAGCCCGACGCTGTGGCGGCCGCCGCCGCGGCCGGAAGAACGTCCGTGGAGTTGGCGTAGGGCGATCCGGTTGGGTTGGAGTTGGCCACTGGGCCGGTAATGTTGGCGTAGCTTATGTTGAGGCAGCTACTGCTCTGCGGGTCCTCCTGGATCTTCTGGACGATGATGTCAACCGCTTTGTGGATCTGCTCGGGCTCACCGCTGATCGTCACCACACGCTCCTGGAGGTTGATGCCCTCTGGCTTCTGGCTCAGCTGCACCCAGGCTCCGGATTGCTCCATGATGGCCTTGACTGTGGCACCCCCTTTGCCGATGATCAGTCCGGCTGTGCTGTTGGGAACGATCACCTTAGCCTGCCCAGTGGAAGAAATGAGAAAAAGTAGCATTCATTTTATCCTTCACTGACATGTAAAAGATACCCGCTCTTACAAGTCCAGGGGCTTCAAAATGATTAACTGCCACCAAGGGTCTATGTTTGTTGGCTGTCACATGGACTTATTTGCTTTTAATTACAATATAATTGTATTGCTTTTTCAGCCCACTGACCTTTCAAAGCAATGTTCCAAAGACAGATTAAGACAATTAAAACAGATTTAAAACTTTCAAAAAAACAACAACACACACAACAGATGACAGACACTCTTTAAAGGCAGCTTTTAGACATTCTTTCAAAGTTGAAAACCAACTCTAAGAATCCAAAGGATTTTGGAACAAAATAATTTGGGCTGCCTGCTGAAAAATCGAACAGGGAGGGCCGTCAACCTAACTTCCATTGGGATGGGAGTTTCGTAAGCCATAGGGAAAAAAATGACTGTTTCGGATTATTGCTGTTCAACAGTTATGCAGGGGGAAGGATTCAAGGAGCTGTAATCTGTAAGACAACCTTTGGATTTAACCACAAGAATAAACACTCTCCTTTTAGAGGAAGGCTCTTAAGAGACACGACTGTGTTTCTACTGTGTAGGTGCACCTGCCCATTTATTTGACTTTTGGAGGTCCTCTTGAATGAATGCAGCCTTGTTGACACCTCCCATGTCAGATTTACAAAATGGTCACTGTGGAACACAAGGAATCCTTGCCCCCAAAGGCTTGTGCCTGAGAGAAATGGGAATGGAGTGGCTTTCCCCCACATATGATGATCTGCTACCAGAGCCGAGGCATTTCACCTCGGTATCAGCCACTATGAGTCACCCCAGTCTTTTTCTCAGCTCTGCGAGAGAAGTGGGAACGGAGTGGCTTTTCCCCACATATGATTTCACCTCGGTATCAGGCACTGTGAGTCACCCCAGTCTTTTTCTCAGCTCTGTGTGCTGCAGACCAGGAGAGGGCAGGAACAAGAAGTTATTGCCAATAGTCTACCACTTTTCTGGCTGCAGACCAGGAGATGGCAGGAACAAGTTATTGCCAATAGTCTACCACTTTTCTGCAAAAGCCCTTATGATGGCATGGGACATGTGAGAGGGACACAAATATTTTGAGAATTAAGAAGGCCTTCCATCAGAAGCCTAGGAATCTAATCTATGTTTTTAAAATGAGACCATATGCTAAAGAAAGATAAGGAGGCTGCCCATTAACAGATCTGAAGGCATCCTTTGGCCACATGGATGGTTCTTTGCTCTGTGTGGACATCTTACTGCTTGCTATAAAGCACCAAGCCTTTCTCTACTGCCATTAACCCTGTGAAAACACCAGCACTCCTTTCCCATTCTCCTTTGGCCACTCTTCCCTGAATCATCCAGTCCCAATGCACCACATCTAGAAAAATCAATCCTAGGGAAGAAGTTTCTTCAGCACCACGGAGAGCAGCCTCTTCGTCGTATCCCTTTCTTGTGAAAATTGGGTCAGGCAGGCAGCATGGATCCCGTGTTCAACCCACCCCCAGAAGCAACAGCTCGTTGTGAATCAGCAGCCGGCGTCCTTTTAAGAACAGCCAGCTTTAGAACTGGGTTCACTGTGTCAACATGGGAACCTTATGTTTTGGAGGTATGCCTTTCTAGAACTTCCAAACCCATTACCAGGTGAATTTAAAAAAGTGCTCTCTGGAGAGCTGGGTGCTCCAGCTCCCGTCATTCCATAATTTATGTCAAGGAAGTATATTTGCACCCTTTCTCCAATTCCACACAGTTTATTTTGCTCCCATTGAAATGGATAAAGGAGCAGAACTAGGCATTCAAGCTACATTCCCAGGCTGCTCCCAGCCTCCAGCCATTTATCCAGTTCTTGATATTTCTGCAGGTATGGCCCACCCATTCCTAATCAGCTAATTATATTTCACTACCATGTGTGCCAGAAAGCTGCTTTTTTTTCACTTGCCAGGTAGGAGGAGAGGACGTTCTGAGCAAGAGACGTTCTGGAGGCCGTTCTATGTTCTGCTCCTTTTTCTGTCTGCTTCTGCGGAATTTCTGACTACCTACGACTCCCTTTAGAGCACACTCAACTGATATCATGAGAAAGTGTGCCGTGCAGGGAAATAAATGTGATTGCTTTTGTGGAGGAGGCTGTTTCAATGCAGGGGATTTGGAATAGATTTTTTTTCCATGAGTCTCTGCGCCAATTCTTCTGGCTTTTGAGATTTTAGTGGGGATAGGCCATTTCTCCGAGCTGTTCAAAGACAAGTCGGAGAGGAGGAGAGGAGGGAGGGAGGGAGAAAGAGTGGGTATTCAAAGAGATAGCTCCAGGGGCTCTGGGATGACGAGGGAGGGGGCTCCTCAACCCTGCCCACCCCTCCGCCTTTATATAACCACTGAGAAAAATGTACAGATTTAGCAAGGAAATGCTCTTATATAACTAAGTCACAGGCACCTCCCCAAATCCATTACCTCCTCCAACCCACAGCAATGGCTCTGGATTAGTGAGAAGAGGAAGGGAGAGAGGAGGACGGCAGAAAAAAAATAGTCCCCAGTGTTGACAGAATGGGTGCTACATCCCAGATTTAAAAGCCATGTAATCTGAGAATTAGCTGGTCTCCTCCAGGGAGGATGGCCGGGCAAACCTGGAAGTAAAGTCAACAGCGAAGACACTTCTAAGAAGAGCAGCCAGAAGAGGGGAACAACCTGGTACAATTCACGTTGACAGAAGTCTCCATTGCTACTTGCCATCCTCACCAGAGGAAGATCCTATCCCTCCCCGGCACAGGTGAGAGATGCAAGGAAAGGAGACTGGGGAGGCTGTCCTGGCTGCAGTTCAAAAAAGTAACTTTTCTAAACTCTCTCATGGAGGTGCTTCAGTGGCCTCAGATCCTCAGTGCCGGTGTGTGTGTGTGTTTCACACTTGGTCCATCTCAAAAAAGGACAAAGAGCTGTGGTTTCTTCATGTCTCGCTGACTACGGAAGCAGTCTGCTGTCCTCTTGTTGATTCTGCACATGGTGGTGTTGCATAGGGTGAGGGAGAAAGCTCCCCCCCGGCTCTCGGAAGGGGCAGTATCCTGGTGACCATGAGCCTCAGGTTGTCAGCCATGGCTGGGCAAAATTAATGGGTGGTGCACCCCTTCTGCCTAAGGAAAAACGTGTGCCCTCCTCACCAGCAAGCATCTTCAGTTCATAAGCCTGGCGTCTGACCTGTCCCAATTAGCATTCCAATTGCGGTTATTTTAGTACTAAATTTAGCCTCTCAAAAATATACACACTAACCTTGCTGGCTGAATGTCCTAATGCCTCACCATTTCTTTCCTTCCCCATCATTATCTTCCCCCCTTACAGGAACACAACCTTGCAGAACAGATTTACACCATCCCAGAATATTTCCTACATGCTCTCATCTGATCTGTAGTGGCTCTCCAGTGTTTCAGAAAAGACCCACCAATGTGGAAACCTTATTTTCTGGGACCTGAAATGATTGCGGGACCTGACAAGGCATAATTTGGATTATCTGTGATCTTCTCCCACCCTCCCTTTTTCACGAGGATGATCTCCTGACCATGAAGGCTTCACAAGGTTAACATCAAGCCAGCCTCTCAGCAACCCTTCACCTTTCCATTAGGTATCAGGCAGAGCTGGAGGTTGGGAGTTCGATTCGCCCTTCACCTTTCCATTAGGTATCGGGCTGCAGAGCCGGAGGCTGGGAGTTCGATTCCGCACTGTGTCTCCCAAGAGAGGAGCCAGCCTGGATAGCCTTGGGCAAGCCACACACAGTCCCAGGTCTCCCCCAGAAGAAGGGGATAGCAAACCTCTTTGAATGCTCTCTGCCTGGAAAACTCTGGAAAAGTGACGTCATAAGTCAGAATTGACTTGACGACACTTGATTATTATTTTATTATTATTCTAATTTTGACCTCATGATGAAATCCTCAGATCTCAAAAGGTTGAACAAATTTTTTCATCTGCTTTAACTGCAGGTATTGTCCCAACACAAATTATGGATTTCCCCCCCTTATACCTATGTTTCCAACCCATTTGTTCCACTTCTTCTGAACATCTGGAGCTTCTTCTGGATTTTCCTAGACCCCTTCTTGTGTTGGTCTGTCTGGGCAGCAGAAAAAGACCTTCATGGCACCTTCAAGACGAACGTGTTATTCTTTCAGGGGCCATAAAACTCTCTGGTGGCAGCCCCTCGGAGCAGCCTCCTTCCTTTGGTATAAAGCAATATCCTAGGTTCACGCAGATATTTTGGAAGAATTTCTTCACAGCTTCCCAAGAAAAGGAAGGGCAGCTCTTTTAACTGACAGGGAGCAAAGGAATGCCTCCAGACCAGAGGGAGTCCCTCATTCATCTCCTAGCAGCCCTCTGAATTCCTCTTCCATACACGCTTCCTGACCCACACTCAAAGGTGGCTCTGCCAATATCTTTGCCTCCAGCTTCCAGGCCCAAAGCTGGCTTTCTTTTTGCGCTGCTATAGCAACGACACAATCAACCGACAATGGAAACCTGCAGCCTGGTCTCGCTTCCACATACAACAATCCGGAGGCAAAGGAAAGCCACACCCCTCTCTTTTTAGAAATCTTTATAACAGGAAAGCCAGATCTCCCTGTATGCAGCTAGCAATTTTTTTTTATCAACGTTACAATTGCTATGAGAATATGTTGAGGTTTTTAGACGTTTATTTTTGTTATTCTTGCTTATGTTATTTCACAACTTATAAATTCGGTTATAAGCCTTTCACTCCTGTTTTTGGCTCTCCCCCCCCATGTGTTTTATTTTATTTAATCACTAATAAAGTAATCTGCTCAGAATAGTGCATTGCACTAATGGGGTGGTATATAAATCTAAGAAATAAGCAACAAACAAACAAATAAAGAACAAGGATCAGACAACCTCCACTTGAGCAAAAAATGATTTGCTATTACTATTAAACAGGGCATGCATGTTCAGAAAATGTTTTCAAGGATTCCCCAGACCATAATTTCCCCTGGAAATTCTGAGAGCTACCATCCAAAGAAGCAACTTCGGCAGGCTTATAGGGATAAGCAAAGAACAGGGGTATGTGGTTTCCATGTCCTTCCTATGAGATGCTTCTGTATTTTCCAGAAGCATCTCGTAGGCCACCATTAAATACAAGGTGCTGACCCAGACCAGCCTTTGTTGCCCTCCAGTAGGAATACAACAATCCCCATCATCCCCAGCCACACCATGTTCTCTGAGGAGGAAGAGAACTGCAGTGACCCAAGACCTCTGAAGGCTTCCACCAGACTGTGGTCCAACCTAGGGATGGCTTTCTTATTTCCACTCCAAGGTCCTTCAAACCACACCCAATCACCACCAAAAGCAAGCCCAACACCCTGCAAATATGAAAAACGCCTCCTTTCAGAGGTCCTTCACCTGTTTGGCTCGGTCTGGATTCATGGTTGTCTGGGGCTGTAAGATGTTGACCGACTCTGGCTTTACCACCGACTGTGGGATCTCTCGGACCTTCTCAGCAATGAAGTTATGAACAGCGTTGAGGGCTTCTGCCGTGCCTTGGACAAGGCACACGCGCTCCGTGGTGCCTGCATGGGGCAAGAGAAAAGAGCGCCTTTAAGATGATACAATGGAGAAATGGAGACATCTTGTTGTTTGTTCAGAGGGCTTGGTTTCGCTTGGGTGGGAGAAGGAAGATGTCAAGGGACAAAACATGAAAGGCGGAAGATGGGGGAGAGAGAAAGTTGTCTCAAGGGGTAGGATGCTGGTTCCCCACCTTGGGTCACCCAAATGTTCTGGGACTGCAGTTCCCAGAAGCCTTCATCACCAGCTGATGCTTGATGAGGGTTTCTGGGTGTTGCAGTTCAAGAAAACCTGGGTGAGCCAAGGTTGGGAGCCAGTGGAGTAAGGGATGGGCAAGCATGGGAGGATGGCTTTAACACAAATGAAGGGGCCGTGAAAGTGAATGATGGGAAATCCAAGACAGACACATAGGACTTGTTCAAATAATTGCCGGTACAAAAATTTGCTAGCTCCAGAATTGGAAACGTTGTGTTTCTTAATACTATTTGCTGGAGAAAACACCAGTGGGGTAGGTTATTTGCACTCAGCTGCCACTTGCAGGATGCTTAAACTTTGGCCTGATCCAGTTTAGCTCCGTACGTTCTTAAGTTAGGAACACACATGGGTGCAAATGCGAGAGATTGTCACGAGGGGTATACAAAGCCTCCCCTTGCTCTTGCTGCATGTCCCATTGTGGATTTTTAACGTGGAAGGGCAGGGCCTGGAAAGGCTGTGTTCTGGGGAAGATCTGATCCGTTCTGGAGCTCAAATCAAAGTTTTCAGCCCAGCAGTCTTTTAGGCACACACATATATATAAGTCTTGAATCCCAAGACCCAAACCTGAGTCCTTATTAAAAACAAGGGTTTTTCTTCCCAGAAAAGAGGGAAGAGGTGGGTGGGTTTCAAGTTGTAAGTCAAGTCTGAATCATAGGGGGAGGGGCAGAAACGAACAAAACCTGAGTCAAGTCCAAGTCAAATCAATATTTTTTTTTTGGCCCAGGCTCGGGTTCATTGGCTTTAGTGTTCTTGCAGGAGCAAAGTAACCCCCCCCCCCCGCACAAGGCTCCCTGCCTCTGGTATAGAATTTTAGCTTAAAGAGGCCGAGATGCACTGGGCCAAATTCCATGTGTATGCTTTTTTGGGGTGTGTGTGTGTAAATGGAGCAAGAAATGTAAGTAGCCACCAGGCAGATGGCCCTTGGCTCGTTTCACCGGCAAAGAGGACATTTCAGGGCAGCTGAGTGGGCATAGAAGTGACACCATGGATACCAGAAGACAGAGAGCTCACAATCTCCAGCAAGAGCCTCTCCACACACATGCACACAAACGCACACACACACACACCCCACACACCCGCCCAAGCTGGGTTCCTGCATCTTCAGCTTTTCCTCCTTGCCTTCGCCTCAGCTGCTGCCTCAACAATACATCTCTGCCCCAGAGTTGCCATGGCAACCCACAGTGGCCTTCCTTGTGGCTGCAGGCCTCAAGGGTCCGTTGTCTTGGCAACCGGCACCCCTTCATCTGCCAAAAGGGGGATATGAATGGGGAAGGATGGGGGAACCATCCCCTGGGGCAGCAGAACATGAGGGCGGAATACCCCTCATTTCTCTGCAGAGAAGTCAAGCATCCTTTATGGGGGGGCGGAGGTTGGGAAATGGGTGGGTAGGGGTCTCCACTGTCCTCTCCCCACAAAAGATGGGGGCACCCTTCAGAAACTGGCTTCGACTGGGCCAGCGGAAGGTGTGATTTGGGAGGAGGCAGCAGAACATTAATCATCAGGATCAGAAAATTCAGCAGCCAGAAACAACTATCCCCCACAACTTTGTTTGGGAACATAAGGGTGGCCAGCATGAGACAACTGACATGAAATGTGTTTCTGAGCATAAACATCCTGCTTTCCCCAGATTATTTCTGGAAATCCAGTCCTTCCCATCATCATCGACTTCAGGAAGAATGTTTCTCCCAAAAAAAGAGAGATTGGATTGCAGGTGGATTTGAATTCGGCACCCACAGTGTTGATGGAGTATGTTTCTAGCATTTAGCACATTGTACCCACACTCATTTTCTCACTGGCAGGCCACGATTGCTATCCTGCTGCTACAGAGAACGGAGCGCAGATGCACCCATGTCCTAGTTTGTGGCTCACGCCGGATCTGAACCGCGTGGAATGAACATACCCGACTTTCTCCTCTCACCTATGGGTCTGTTGCCCTGTTATTCCAATTTAAATGGGGCTGAAGAAGGAGGGCCATTGGTTGAAGTATTTTGCTTTCACCAAAGACAAGGGACAAATAAAAAGAATGAAGGCCCTTCTCTTGGCATCCTCATGTATCTGGAAAATGTCACAACTCTTTCCCCTACTACAGGGGAGAAAATCTCTCAGTCACCATCGGATCAGCCACCATCACAAGCTGCCACATCTGATTGTACCCTACAAAAAGCAGAGGGGAATCACACACCTCCGATCGTTCCCAAAGCTTGCAATTCAGGGGCAAACTCAGCCACTGGCACCACCCCTTCCAGCAGGCCTGGCAACAGAGCAAACATCCCCCAATCATCTGAGAGCCGAGCAGGGGCTTGACATACCCCGGGCTGCAAAACGTCCAGATGTTACTGGAGTACAACTCCTCTTGGCCATCAGCCAGCACAGCTGATAGTCAGAAATTATGGGAGCTGTAGGTTAGGAACGTAAAAAGAGGGATGGGTGACCCTCTAGAGATCTCTGGCACACAATTCGCATCAGCTTTAATCGGCATAACCAAGAAAGAGTTAGCATGAGTCGTAGGTTAACAAAATCTGGACAGCACAGATGTCCACCCCTGATCTATAACGCCCCAGATCCCTCACTTCTGTCCTCAGTGGAATAAAATCAGTAGCCAGAATCCTACGAGTGTTGGCATTAAGCTTGCGTCATTTGACGTTCCTCGTTGTCACTAATTGATAAGATGTCTCAGTCACAGATCTGGTCACCTGCCCCTTTTGTGCAACTGATGTGAGCTGCAGCAACTCATCAATGAGTCGGCAGCAACAAGTTATGCAGATTTATTTTATTTTTTTTGCAGGCGGCAATGGGATTTTGGCCAATGAGTGTTGCGGGGAGACACCACACCCCTGCCAGGCAACCATGCTGAGGGTGCAGTCTTACAGCAGACTCTTAACATACGCATCTCCAGCTTCTGGCCCTAAGGTCTCTGCTGACTATAAGATCCATTCCTCTCCCAGTCCCCTTCATGGGTTTTATCCACAAAGGGCACAACACACTATTGGAGCTACACTGATGCAATGCTTCATTCGGCGGTAGGACTGCTGGGAGGAAAATGGGTTAGGGGCTTCCTTTGGCATAGATTTTGTGCATTGCTGCATTATGTGGTGACCCAGTAGACATTTAGACTACAAGGCCAATCAGCCAGGGATGTTGGCAAGTCTTTCTGCGTCTGAACTCCGAATCTTTGGTACCAAGTCCCGAATTCCAAGCGCCAAGTCTGAATCTCTGTCAAAAACAACCTTTTTCTCCCCGCGAAAAGGGAGGGGTGGATGGTTCCAAGCCGTGAGTCAATTCCTCATAACTGAAAAACAACAACCCAGAGTCAAGTGACTGGTGTGACTTGCGTTCAACTTTGACAGCAAGTCCCACAACTCAAGTTGCCATCCCTCACTCTTCTGACTGGGAATGATGGGCACTGTAATTCAAAACGTCTAGTGGGCACCACCCAAGCTGATAAGCCAAAGAATATAAAACCACCCTGAAAATCACTAGTCACTCACACTAATTAAGGCAGATTACGCAGAAGGCCACCCCAACTGTACTCCACAGCAAACCAAAACAGGAAGCAGAAGATCCAGGTTAGTCGCCATTAATATTTTGTGCATTGCTGCATTATACGGTCACCAGTAGACTATTTAGACTACAAGGCCAATCTGCCCGAGATATCGGCAAGTCTTTCTGCGTCTGAAGTCTGAATCTTTGATTACGCAGAAGGCCGCCACAACTGTACTCCACAGCAAACCAAAACAGTAAGCAGAAGATCCAGGTTAGTCGCCATTAACACACATGCACACGTACACAAACATAGCTCAAAAACAAACCGACCTGGGACACTGACAGCTTTCGCCACAGATGAGAGTCTTCTGAGCCTATACTGTGCTACTAATGCTACCATTTCCAACAGGAGACGCCGACGCCGACATCCAGACGGCAATAACTCCGAAAAAAATGTCAGTCACAGCACGAACTGTCATTACTAAAGAACGAACTGCCGCAAATCGGCAGCTATTATGAAACCCACGCTTTGCTGGAGATTTTTAAGGAGGCATATGGCTGATCACAGTTGGAAACAGGACGCCGATTTAGATGATTTTGAGCCAAGATTCAGGCTGGGGGGCTCTGGGAGTAGTAGTCAAATAATAGTAATAATTCCTCCATGCTCCGATCTAGTCTTATATATAGCACAGTGAGGGTGTGTCCTTTTCAGTGATGATTGTAGATCAAATGACTTTACATCAAACAGGAAAAAAAAGCTAGCTTAAGTGAGACACTTTCTATGTGGAAGGAGATGCAACTGTGTGGGGCGATGATGGAGACACGGGCCTCAGGGCTGTTTCCTGGCAAACAAATCGCCACCCCGGCCACCCAAAACACCATGCAGATCATGGACGCTGCAGGGCTGTTTTCCCTCTTAGAATAAAAGCGGCCGACTTGCTTTCTAAAAGTGTGTTTCATGTGATATCTGGCCTCACTTTCATAAAACTCTTGCCTAGGCAGGCGAGTTTGCTAACTTGGTTGAGGAGGGGTTAACCGGTGATGTCTTATTTACTCAACCGCATCGAGTACCCCCTAGCATTTCTCCGTGTGTGAATTTATGCCCAGCTCCTCTGCCTCTTTTTCCGACAGGCAGCCCTGTCCATTGCTCTTTTTAAAAGAAGCAACCACCACAACAACTGAGTGTAGCAGGAATAACATGTGCATGACTATTTCTGTTCCAGTTTCGTCCGCGCTTGGCCCTGGATGCCGAATCCACCTCTCTTCAACGACAGCCAACTCTTTTTTGCTTGCCCGGCCCCCCTCTGAATTCACCAAGATGTTGCCCCCTTCTCTCCTCTCCTTCCTGTTGGGTACTTGGTTCCTTTCCACCCTCTTTGAAGAGAAGGGCTGGGGACGGGCGGCGTGGGGGTGAGTGTGGAGGAACCAGACGGTGGCTCCTAAATCTGGGAGGCACAAGCTGCCTGGAATATTTCAGTCTCAGCTACCATCCCTCTGGCCACCTTATCAGAAGAGTATTTCCTGCCATTGAATCCGTTTCCCCCCGTTGGCCAGCCCAGGCTGTATTTCCTGTTTCCTCTCCTTACACCCATCCAGTCAAACGACTGTAGTTGCAGAGTGTGCCGACACACCATGCTGCTTCTGCTACCCTTTCTGTGTCAGTCCTGGGGTCTGCTCTGGTTAGATCTTTTTCAAGGATCTGGGGCAACGTCTCGCCCTTCTTGCACTGCTGATCCTTCCCCCCCACCGCCTCCTCCCATCAGGAGAATGAGGATGAAAAGAGGATCTGGAAGTCTAGATCCCAAGGAAGCATGGAGGAAGCTGTGGGTCAGAACCTGAGCCCTCTTGATTCTTGGCTTCAGCCTTGCCTCCAGATTTATTGTGACCCCTGCCCTCGAACCCAGGAATCTTGCAACCCCAGCCTCTCAACCTTACGTTAGGCAAGTACTCTTCAGCCTTACCTCTTTCGTTTGGAAACATACGTCGATTTGTACTGCGACTGCATTGACGTTATGTTTACTGACCAGTCTAATGCTTCCAAAGTGTGAGAAACATGAGCATGTTCAGTGTACAGGCATCCACCCACCCCCACGCATACGCACCTTGCACCACCACAAACATATTAACGTCCACAAACAGGATCTGAGGACACGCAGTTAGAAACAAAGCCTCTTATTAATATACTGGTTGTGGCGACTTAAGGGTTTCGGAGAAGCCCTCTGCACATGTTCAGAGGCCTGGCACAGCCTCTCCTCTTCCAGGGCTGTGCCTTTGCCTTCAAAAGCCCTTCTGGATCGGATCGCCGCCTCAAATTCAGCGACGGTCACAACATCCATGTTGCAGCGTGAGCCCCTCACTCTTGATCTTACTATCCCACTGCAAGAACAGACCCCACGGACGAGCTGTTACGCTGCAATTAATTCATGCAGAGAGTGCCAAGAGTGCGAGGGGGCACAGCCCACCGCGAATGACGTGAAACCCCAAATCTTGGCCTTCCAGAAGGAAGAGGACTCCATTAAAAATAGCTTTTCGCCCCCACTGCCAAGCCCTGTTAAATACTGTACAAAGGGCTTCCTTTTGCCTTGAAGTTTTTTTTTTGGGGGGTGTCCTTCCAGGAAGCCACAAACAAACAAGGCACCTGCTCCCCCGTTGCCATGGCAACAGAATCCAGGCCTATTTCTCCCTCTCTCCCGTCTCTTCCCCCCCCCCATTCTGCGCTGGCGAGGATTTGCTGGCCCAGCCCCCGTAATCCCGCAATCAAGAACGAAGGTTGTGGAGGGAAAGCAGCTTAACTAGGCCTGTCCCGTTAGGGCTTTGTCTGCCCTTCAATCACAGCTGGGATTACGGCACAAGGGGGGGGAGAGCTTGCCCCCTCTTCCGCCCTTCACCTTATGCTAGCCATGGCTGACCCCCTCAACCCCTGTGGGTTCACTTTCGGATTGGCGCTGTTTCAGGACCCTTCTGCCGATGCCCTCGGCCAGCCGACGACGCGTGTTGGGTCCCTTCCCCACCAAGCCCTCTCCTCTTAATCCAAGGGCTCAGTTTCCGCAGGAGTTTAACTAGGAAGAAAAGAACACAGCCAGAGTCCGGAAGGGTTGCGACCACTAGGAAAAAGTCCAAGGAGGAAGGACTGGGGGGGGGTCTCAAAACCGGAGGATACGGGAAGGAAAGAGAAACTGCACCATAAGGCGAAGCACTTGGAGAAAGATAGTCCAAGGATTGAAATAAAGAGGAAATCAAATATTTCAGGGACAGAGAAAAACCTATATTCTTTATCATCTACTAGGTTCTTAGACTCAGCAACACACAATTATGATGATTATATCCCTGGGTCTTGAGCCAGGTTCCACTGGCCTCTGTCACAAACAGGGGAGGATGCTACACGAAAGGAATACTTAAATTTTCACACCAAGCCACCGGATGCCCTTCAATCACCAAACGTCATATCCCTGGGTCTTGAGTCAGGTTCCACTGGCCTCTGTCACATACAGGGGAGGATGCTACACAAAAGGAATACTTAAATTTTCACACCAAGCTACCGGATGCCCTTCAATCACCAAAGGTCCATCCACCTAACAACAGAATTGAACGGCATCACAACGCAAAGTAAACCCACAACCTCATTCCACGCTCCACGCAACTTCTCCAAAAGATGTTCAGGCCTGATGATGATGCTCCCAACAAAAGGTTAGCACTCATAAACACCTGCACAGCTCTAGCATCACAAACGAACCTGGATGGATTGGGCCCATCCTCTCTGATGCCACGTTCATCTATATACAAACCACCTGCTCAATATCTGGTTTTGGAAAAGGCACATGTCGCCCGAGAGCTTGTGGAAGCCCACCTTGTCTGTGCCCTCCCACCTTTGCTTTCGAAAGACTGGCCCTCCCACATATCCACACACACCTGGATAGAAGTCCTTGGATTTGGACAACTTGATGGTGGCCCCTGTTTCCTTCTGCAGCTGGACAATGGTCTGGCCTCCTTTCCCGATGATGGATCCGGCAGCATAGCTGGGAATCAGGACCTTGAGGAAGTATTCACCATCCTCTGCCAGAGAAGGGAGAGAAAGAAGAGCTCATGAAACATCCTTCAAATCCCAGGCCACGTGGATGTCACAATTTAGTCTCACAACAGTCGGAGAACGGGCTGATCGCAGGAAAAGGCCGCCCTGCAGCAACTTCCATGGAGACCAACTCCTAACATGAATCAGGTGACTTTTGTAAGCATTAGGGATAGAATGAGCTTATGACACAACAAGCCATAGATAGTGGCTTTTCGCCCTATAGCTGTAACAGGCAAGGCAGTTTACCCTGTTTGCAAATCTAATGCATTCCACTCCTCCTGATAAAAACACAGAAATATATCAGCCCACACTGTGACGCCTGGCTGCTACATGCCATCTGATCGGTGTTTTCATCCCCCATTCACCCTACCTAAGTTGATTTGTAGTGGTCTGCGATCAATGAAGACAATGAAGACAGAGAATGCCTTATCATCAGGGACAGCATTCTGACAGAAGAGTGTCTGAAGATTTATAGTTCCCTGTTGTCAGGGATCAGATATAATTGCACTTGCAAATAATGAAATTACGTGCCCTAAAAAAAAATATCATCATATTAACTCAGGTTGAACAAGAACAGAAATGTGGATCTTCTAAAAACTGTATGCACAAAACTTCACCTTTTGTCCACACTATCATCGAAACATTAAAAAGAAAACCTTAGTTTCACAAGTGTGTGGATTTTTGTATACATTTTAATTAGACAATTGCACCCCACCAAAATCCACAAAAAGGGGGATATTAATTAGAACTCTTGGTTTTCAAAGTGCAAATTTGTCAATTTCCTATTAAAATGTGAACCAAATTAATTTCTCCCTCAGCCCATTGCATGAGTGGCTGAAGTTTCTACTATTTTTCTCATTCACAGAACTGTAAAGGGGATCCATATATTGCCATCTTCTATTTATAACCCTCTCACGTTTTCCCAGTGTTTCTTTTCTATATGGAAAGATAGAATATCTGCACAGCATCTTGGGGGGGGGGGACCTGAGGGGGCCATTCTGCCAACAGAATTGATCCTATAGTCCTCTTCCGTTTACTCTTGCCTCCATCTTCCACCCCTTTCTATTATCCCCCCCCTTACCTGTTAATTTGGAAAAAAGATGGGGGGGGGACATTTGCCTTTTTGGACTGCAATTTCCAGAACATCGCAGCCGACGATGCTAGGACTGGCTTTGATGGCTGGGAATTCTGAGGAAAGAGTAGTCCAAAAAAAGTAACTTTTCTAGCTGTGGTTGAACGCTGTTTGTGGCAGGAGAACCGTTTTCTCAGTGTCACATTGCAGAGTGCCTCGTGCAGTGATGGTGTCATAACTGTAAGAGCAACACCTTCATTGCACTTGCTGGGCCTTGATATATGCATCTGAGAACAGAGGGGGGCTAAGCCTCCTGCCTAGGATTTAGGTAACCACCTCCTTAAATGATCAGCAGTATGAAACACTGGAAGGACAGATCCTGAAGCAGAGGCTCCCGTACTTTGGCCATCTCATAAGTTGAGAAGACTCCCTGGAAAAGACCTTGATGTTAGGAAAGGGTGAAGGCAAGAGGAGAAGGGGACGAAAGAGGACGAGATGGTTGGACAGGGTCATTGAAGCAACCAACATGAATTTGATCCAACTCTGGGAGGCAGTGGAAGACTGGAAGGCCTGGCGTCCTCTGGTCCATGGGGTCACGAAGAGCGGGACACGACTTAACGACTAGACAACAACAACATGAAACTAAGACTCTTGTGCAATTTATTAGCCACAGGAAAATCACTCAATTGTGTTTGCTGAAAATAAGGAGGCACAGAAAGAAGAAGAATAGAAGGTTGCTATTGTTTTTAATTGCCCATCTCACAGTCTTTTACCATTAGCTATGTTGGTTAGGGTTGAAGGGTGCTGTCATTGATTTTTTTGTTTTGTTTTGTTCTGCGCCATCAAATTGGAACTGAATTGGGAAGACCCTAACAGGGTTTTCAAGGTAAGTGAGATATTGAAGGTGTGGTTTTTTTCCAGTTCTACACCTCCAGGGAGTTTTCCATGGCCAAGCAAGGATTCAAACCCAGTTTTGTTATGCACCATCAAATTGGAACTGAATTGGGAAGACGTGAGATATTGAAGGTGTGGTTTTTCCAGTTCTGCACCTCCAGGGAGTTTCCATGGCCAAGCAAGGATTCAAACCCAGACCTCCTGCCTCCTAGGACGTCACTCTATCCACTATACCCCACTGGGCCTCCAGTGCTCACAGGTCTCAAACATCTGGAGAGGCGCAGTTGCCCACAAAATAGTTCAGAAGTGGAAAAGTACCGGAGCAAACAGGCAGAATTCATCACCACCTGCCTGTCAAGCTTTATCTCTCAACATCCTTTGAAAGCAAAATAAATCTCTGGGTCCCTACATTCATAAGTAATGGCACGAGACATGTGCTACCACGGAAACCTCAAAAGGAGACCACAAAATCCTTTCTTTTCTCTCCTTTGGCTGTTTTCAAAGACCTTTGTTCCAGGCACCCCTGTTCCCTTCCCTGACTTTGACAATACAGCACATCTGTGGCGTTGTGTATATTTGCTCATGCTCAGTACGACAAGGAAACACGGCAGTGGGGAATTCAGAGTCCAGCAATTTTTTTTCAAGCATCTTGAAGGCACTATTCCTGAGATTGCAACTCTGGAACGGACTGGCTTCACCACAATTTAATACGTTGTGCTGCCATAAGCTATTGCTGTTTTCTCCCTCTACTCTGAATAAAACGTTGCTAAAAATAAACACGCACACACACACAAAATCCAACCACTGTTTGTGCACATCACACAACCTGAGAAAAGCTTGCTCAATTCACGGCACCCATTTTTCTCTCTAAAGCTTCAGTTTTGGATGAAATTCTGCCCTGATTCTGTGTCCTGAGAGTCTCACTCGGGATCCTAAGGATGGCAGGTTAAGGCCTGAGGTGGCGGACAAATCTTGGAAATTAGTTTTTAGACTGCAGCGATCAGAATCTTCTAAAATGTGGCATTCTGGGAATTGCGGTCTAAAAACACGACCCTTCTAAGCTTGGTGACATCTTTCCAACTCAGTTGGCTCTCTCGCACATTCGGTTTGTCTCCCCCGTTCAGAAGCCATCAATCTTGAAGGCCCAAAGCCTTACAAACAGGCCACCGGGAATGGTTGGTCACCACCTCCATGTCTTCTCATGCGCTTCCAGAGGTATGCACCAGTGGTAGCAGACTGCTGGGTTAAGCAAACATCTTGGCCCATCATCCGTCACCCTCCCGCCAGATCCATTTGGACCAAAAAAATCCACATCAGATGTGGTTTGCTGTTCCTCCCCCCCCCCAGTTTCGAACAGGGGTGGCCCAGGCCGGCAACGCAAAAGCAGGAGAACGACTCGAGTTCCTCCCCAGCTATAATAAGCAACCTTCCCTTTCATGCAGGAGTGCCTATTTTTAATCTGGCCCTGGCGGAAGGGTCTGCGCTTCTCGCTTGCTCGCTCGCTCGCATGGAGCTTACCCGAGATGCAGATTTGACCTACTTATGTTCTCGGTCCCATGCTGAGGAAGATGTAAATGCCAAGGCTGGGGAGAAACCTTGTGATAAGCGATCTGGGCCCGCTGCTCTGTCCAGATTGCAAAAGGTCCCCCAGGGTTTGGAATCAAAGAGCCCTCCAACGATGAAAAACGGATCTCTCTTTCTCTCCCTTTTGAATAAAAGGTGCCCTGGCAGAAAGATTTGAAGCGAGCGATGCTCTTCTCTCCGGCAGTCCAAACATCAACCACGGCGGGCGCGACTCTGCGCATATGAAAGCACGCGCGGGGGTTTGAATGCATGCCTGACCTTAACCTGCAGACCCCTTTGGGTCTCCATTTGAGCAGCTGTTGCTCCATGTTGATGCCCGAGGCAGACGATCTGAAGGGCCCTCCTGTGTGCGCAAATTAATCTGCGGATGCGTCCACCTCTCTGGGGAGTTTCCTCTTAAGGAGGGCTCCGCAGGCAAGTGGGTTCCCACAACGCCTTGGCACTGCTCCTGGTCACCTCAAGGAGGGCTGTGGTGGAGGAGCTCCAGAGGGGCTGCCTGCCCACCCCAGGAGATCTCAGTCCTCCTCCTGTGTGTCCCTTTCAGGGACACCCCAGATCCACCCTCTCCATCGCTTGCTCGGCCACGCTTTGGTGTAACACGGAGCGACCCTTCTGTGGTGGCTAAGGCATTCTGGAAGTTGCAGTCCAGAGAGCAGCGATTTCAAACTCAGCACAAAATGTCAGATCATCCATTGCCCGCCAGAGCCAAGCAGAGTGACCTGGAGTGGAGAAACCCATTCCAAGCCGCTTCAACCTCCTCATGTTTTTTTCGGATGAAAAGCTCTTACCAATGGCTTTCTGGAGTAGCTCGTTCTCCACCCCACCCTGTACCAACTGGGGTAAGAAGATGGAAGAAGGGAAAGCTGTAAATCAGTGCCAATATCATGAGGACGATTTCATAGTAAAATCTTCGTCTGGAAGAAATGGGTGCACCACATGCATGTACTACATTTGTCTAGGGGAAAGTACATAGTAGAGGGATAAACATGGTTCTCCTTACACCTTTCCTCTCAGCCTGCCCTTCCACATGACCTTTCTACCCTCACCGTTTACTTAATGAAGCAGTTCCAACATTCTTCTTAATTTAAACTTGCACACGAGAAAGTCTCCTGAAGACGGTGCGTTCTTCCAGCCATACCATTTACACACCACAGATTTCAGTCTGAGTCCCAGGTCTGAATCTGAGCCTTTCATATCAAACCCAGGTGCCTATTAAAAACAGGTTTTTATCCCTAGAAAAAAAAGGGAAGGGGTGGGTGGATTCCAAGTTGTGAGGAACCGAAAACAACAACCACCACAAGCCGAGTCACTGGTGTGGCTTAAGTCCGACTTGATAGTGACTCAAGTCCTCATCCCTGCCTTTTGAACTACCATATTTTTCCGTGTATAAGACACCCCAATGTATAAGACGCCCTCCACTTTTCTAATCCAAAA